ACAACATAATAACAAATACCTTCTCAAACATGATAATGCTTGTTAGTTTCTCGCCATTAGACTGACGAAGGAGAGCTGCAGATATGGAACGTCGAAACTGGTGTCTCCTTAAAATTGGTTCGAATCGAATACCCCCCTTCAGAACACCCACCGGCTGTACGATTCGTAAACTTCGGTATGCGAGGCAATTCAATTAATACACAAAGTCATGGTGTAATAACTGCCGAGGCTTTAAGTATACCAAAAGCACGACGTGATTTATTATGACGCAAGCCGCGGTGGAGGGCTCATGAAAGTGCGCCCGCTTGAGGGTCGGTAAAGTGTATCTGTTATAGCCACGGTGTAAGAATAGTTTACACCGTGGTTATAGCACACCCCTGGGCCCCTCTACAGCATTTTCCGCGGATAGATATGCGGCCGGGATTCGATACAGCGACGTTCGGGCGACCATAACCGCAACTATTTATATCACACCACAGCAATGATGGAATGTTAATTAGTCAGCAGTAGTAAACAACTATTTAACATGGTTTTAGTTATTACGAACGGCCACCGCTGCTGACAGTTTACTTTAAAAAAAAAACTACGTCTGCTCTTCGGAAACCTCACTTCAGATAATAAATAAAGCCTTCGTATTTGAAAAAAAGAAAAAGAATGGGTACACATGACTGCTCCTTGAAATCGTAGCTGAAAATTCTAAGAATCGCTCAGAGCAGAAACGCTCACCTTTATTATGTTTAAAGAAAAAAATAAATTAGAGAACACGTCATCAAAAGGAGCCCGTGAATCAGCGCTCTCACATTCGACATTTCCAACGAGAAGAAAGTTTGCGGCTTTACATTCAGCGAAGTGTGTTTTTGTTAAATGGCACCCGCCAGTGACTATCGCCGTAGATATTCGCAACGTACCCCGGAAAATGTAAGCCGATACAGTCTGTAATAAACGTGCTTCTCGCATCCCGCGATGCGAGAATTCGGCTAATACGACGTGTTACATAACGGGAATGATTGTGCAAAGATAACACGCAAGGCGTCGACGAGAATTTGCTCTAAATTACGCTGTTTGATACGTTCTTCGCTATGTCACGTATAGACTGAATAGGCTTTTAATAATTAAATATCATAAACGAAAAATAATGCTGCCACGCTCATTTCATAGAGCGATCTCTCTCACATGTCAAGCGACCTCCGTCTCTTTAATTAATTAGCATGGCTGATGCGATTTAATAGCGCTATTTTCCAGAAATGAATGCTGGTAACTGCTTTCCAATAAAGATTACCGCCTGTTATTTCCTGTGCTCATTACATCCGTTATCGCCCTGTTTCACATCAGCGTTTCGTAAACGTATGAGTGCTTCGTAGTATGTTTCCTAATATCAATCAAATAGCCATGTAAGCGAAGGTCTAATCCAACGCGGGCTGTGAAGTCATAGCAAAGCAAACGGCTTGTTTAGTGAAAATATAAGCTACCGTGCCGCAATAAATTGTCTCACATGTAAACAGAAACTAACACACAAACAACAACAGCAACAACAACAACAACAACAACAACAACAACAACAACAACAATAATAATAATAATAATAATAATAATAATAATAATAATAATAATAATGCACAATACGCGAACCAGTTATCGTCCGAACATAGCTTGTGCACCCAGATGAAACCTAAACACCGGAAGAGACTAATCGGGAAATTCCTTCAGAAACCCGGAAAAAAAAATGTTGCGCCAGAAAACGGCGAGAGGGCCAATAGACAAAAGCAGAGTCACCATAGGATCACCAATATTGCTGCAGTTCTCGTCACCACGTCCCAATTCCAAACGTGCTCGCTATAGTGGCACTGTATAGTCGCAGTTACCCAAACGTTGCATGCACCAAAATGAGAGACGAGATGCAACGCGGACATTCCAATTAACGCTGCAGGTAATTAATTCCAGCGGCGCACCGCGACTATCGGGTGCAATATACGAGGAAACGATCTCGCAACCGACGGAAGGCCAGTCGATACGATCAAGCACGCTTTTTTTTTTTTTCGTATGCACGCTTTTAGTGCGAATATTCGCGCTGACTGCATAAGCGAGCAGTGCAAATCAAGGATGTGGTATACGACCACGGGACTTCAATGCACGCGCACTGTCCTTGATGGTTACACAGAGAGCGCACTGCTACGAACGACGACACTGAAAGCACCGGGCATGAGCGCGGTAGCAGAGAAGCTCTACAGAGTAGCCCGGATGTAACGGAGGCTGACAGTTTGAACGCGGAGTCGTTACGTGGCTAATGTTTGTTCCAACATTTTTTTTTTTTTTTTGCAGCATACGTTGAATCTGGTAATTTCCTTAGCTCACGCGAAGGACTGCACCGCGAGAATCTGTGCTCTAGGCTACTATACATTTGATTCACTGTTAATCCACGACATTTGATTCACGTTTCTTGTACTTAAACAATTTCACTCACCGTTCAAACGTCTACGCATATAATTAACCCCTATTCACACGTGATTCACGTTTGCTTAACTCTAACACTTCATTCAGGGGTATAGTTCGCATTTGATGCCTCTTTTGACTCGTATTCAGATGACGCACTAAGCTCACCTTTATTAAATTCTCCTGATTTCTCAAGTACAATTTATTCGCGCTTATTTTACTTTAGTTATCACCCGGGCAGTGTGGGTACGCACCACATGTGAGAGAGAGACGAACTTATATTCGTACAAAGACAAAGCGATATTCTTCGAAGAGTGTGGAGCAAAGCGTACAATGTATACCCCACAAGACGTTTCGTACTATCTTGTTAGGAAGCGCAGCCACTATAACACAGAACACACAACACAAGCGCTTGTGTTGTGTGTTCTGTGTTATAGTGGGTGCGCTTCCTAGCAAGATGGATCCTTACCAACTGGCCCGATACAATTGTTTATTGAGTTGCGTACTATTCGTGGTGGCAGCATAGGATTATATTTTACTCGTGAGCCAAATAAGGCTTTCGCGCCTTAATAAAAACAGAAGGCTTGTGCCGATCCCAATGATGGGGCAATACCGGGCCGACCCCCATAATGGGTGAAGCAGACTTCAAAGCACCTCACCACCAATGACAATATTCGTGATAAACCAGACGATAAAATTGTTCCTTACGTTTGTTGCACGTTGGTTTGAAGCGCCAATTCAACCCGAGACACTCAAATACACTCAACAATGGCCGCGCATATATTTAACTGGTTAGGAATGTATGACGTGCCTTGCGCGTGACGTCACACGCGAGGCGTACCACCATGGTGGCTATGACGTCACGGAAGCACTGCATGGCGGCTCAATGATGCGGCCATCAGCCTGATCCGGCGTGAAAAATGACATCGCTGGAACGTTATCGGGCTTCTGGGCATGAATAGCGAAGGAACGAGCATGCGATGTCCTCATAACTAACGCTGCTCATAACATTTCCGGGACATCACAAAGCTCGGCTCCCAGCGTGTTGGTGCTACAACGCGGATGTGTAGTGTATCACGTTCCGCGAGTGGCCTGCCACAATGGCGTTCGTTGAAAGTCAATGCAAGCGTGGGCACGAAAAGCTTACAGCAGGACCGCCACGCCCCACCTAAGCAGATGCAACTTTCCCACCATTCCTGGTCCTCCAACATGGCGGCTGAGGTGACGTCGGCGTAATCCATCTTAATCCCATCGCAAAGCTATCGTTGCAAACACTATTGTGGGATGCACTACTTCACTGGTTATCCACATTTGTAGCGTGTATAATCGGTCGTTTTATGTATTAGAATAACGAAATGCGTTGTTTCTTTCGCTTAAAAACACCGATATGCTTGCGAGACTCGCCATGGTAGGGTAACTACGGGTCGATTTCGACCGATAGCAATCTACATAAAAGTGCAAGGGCGTTGAATGTATTTTTATCGTACATACTTCACTGCACGGAGTCATGATTAGTAGCCGCTAAGTTACCACGACAGGACTCGACATAAGAATCAAATGCCGATTAGAAACATACTTCCTGACAATTATGATGCGGGATCATCTATCTGTTTTCGCTTCAAGCAGGGCTTGCAACAATTTTTTTTTTTTGCGGTCGCTCTATAGCAACAATAGGCGCCATTAACACTTAAGCAATCGCAAAAACGCTGTGCGATTGACCGTTTTTTCCCGTGCCCCGTAGCGCTAAACAATGCGGCGAAATCCCCACAGAGTCACTGCACTGCACACAACTTATCACGTGGGCGCAGTAACCGGAAAGCAGACGACAAAAACCCGACACCCGCCCGCGTCGTCTGCTGCCGGTGTTTGCGGCGCGCGTGATAAAGCGCTCGACAATGTCGCCCGATCAATTGCAAGCTGAAACTTCCACGTCCGAACGGCCGGTGTGAAGTCCTGCAAGTGCGACTGATGCAACAGCATAACACCTGCTGCGCTTCTGGACCATCCACAGACCTCGCTGTCGGCAAGCGATCGAGCACGGCTTTTCGCACAACGCCGCAAAAGCAAACCGAGGGCACGCAGCCAGTGTTTTATGATTACCAATGATATGTGGCACAATAACGAACCTTGCTTTTGTTTCCTCGCGTGTATTAGAGCGCGTGCGATGCAGCTGCGACCGGTCCTCGCTGCGTAACGACCGAAATACGGGCGCAAGCGCGCTGCGGTGCCGGCCTAGCCGGAAACACCACACAAGCCTGGCTGGCCTAGCACCGAAGTAAACAAATCCTCTCGCGCTCTCCCCAATGAGAGCGCCACACGGTAAGCGCTTGCAACAGAAAAAAAAAAAAAAAAAGAACGCGGCTTGCAACCACAAAACGACTAGGCCTCACACCCCTCCCCTCATTTCTTCGATCGAACTCCTCTACCGCCAAAGCCACGTAATCTGGCACGCTAGGCACGCGCGTGCATTTTCTAAGGGCGCAGAAGGGGAGACGAAACAAGGGAGATAAAAAGTGAAAGTCGCGTACGCACACACAGACGATACACGGTCAGTTTGGGCGCTAGCTTACCTATCGCGCTCCTTCGGACTGCAGCTGCCGCAGTAGGCCAGTTTTTCCTCGCTGCTCGCCTTGCCCGTGGTCGCGTCGGCGGTGCCGTACTTCGCCAACGGCGGCGAGCTGCAAAGTTCGTCGTCTTCCTCGCGGGCCTCCGATGCCTTTACCGGGCCGTACACGTCCGAGGAGGACGCGACGCTAGCAGCTCGGTCAACGTCTACGACGAGGTCGCAAGACTGCGCGCCACCGCCGGCACGGTTGAAGATGCCCAACTTCGTATCACGGTGCGTGCCGTCCAGCGATATGTTGGAGAGGAAGGTCAGAGCGGCCAAACGGCGCCTCGAACGTTGTCGTTTAAGCACAGCGGCCATAGTATTTTGTCCGAAGGCGACGCGAAGACGGCGAGGGCCCGGCGGCAAAACGCCGCGACTCGCGGGGACACGAGATGCCGAGGAAGGAAAGAGGAAACGTGTCTTTCGCGAAGCAGCAGGCGGGTGCACACAAAACACGAAAACAACACTCAGAGGTACGACGAGTGGCGAAGACGACCACATGTAGTCCGTAACGTCGGCTTGGGAGTCACTGCGATGCGTGCACGAGCGAAGGATTGCGGCTGGTCGCGGAGGTGCACGGGGAAGTTGCGGCGGCGGGACGATGTTGTGTTTACGGCGTCCGACGCGCTTTCCGCTGTTGTGGCCGTCGTCGTGCTGGCGTCGCCGCGACCAGCGGCGCTGAAACGTGGACGAGTCATGGTCGACGGTCGCAACGTTTTCACCACGACGATGCGCTCCGGAGGTCGGGACGAAGAAGAGAGACGACGAAGCTCGCGACGTTCACCATGGGGCGCCGTGCGCGCGCGTCCAGCTGCTTTCCCGATGTATCACCGTAGAAGCAAGCAGCCGACGCGCGCCACTGGGAACAAGAAGGAAGGCGAGCGTGCAACAACACACGATGCGGAGGTGCAGCACTGCTCACACGGACGGGAAACGCCGTGCCGCCGGGAGCTCGATTGAACGATCGACCGACAGAACCCCAGCCGCCGGCGAGCATATGAGATCATATGAGATTGCGAGACAGCGGTAGCCGACGCGACGACAGCGTCATCGATGATCCGTCAGCGGAAGAAAGTTGTCAGCGGGTTACCAACACTCGTCGGCAGGCGGCGCTTCGCGCAAAAGCTTTTACCCGCCAGGTTTGAAAACAACCTTTAGGCGAGCCGTAAATCTGCGCGCAGAGGTCGTTTCGAACCATTTGTATACTGTCAAATTACGCCATTTGTCTACACTGACTGGCCCAGATGGCTGCCTCAACCTCTTTTATTGGCTTAAGTTGCCGCCATTGCGAAATTCGACAATATGACGAAGTATGACAGTGTCACCCCATTATGATCAACTACTGAGGGCATTACATTACCAACGTCTACGTGGTTGTGTGAGGCGTGATCCAGCTAATGACCTGAGGTCAAACCCGGCGAACCACTTTAGCCAGCAACGCGGTAATGCTACAAGTGCCTATATTCTATTCAAGTTCCCAGTAAAAACAGGCTCAAATTAATTAGAAAATTTCAATTGGACGCTTTTGCGAGTTTCCAGTTGTCTTTAGGGACACTCATATAAAAAATTCAGTGGGTTCAACGGGTCACCCCATTCTTTTTGAATAGGCCTAGCAGACATTGCCAAATGGTAACGCGATCAATATCCAAATGGTTTGACCTGTCACGTAAGTAGGTGGACTCAGTTCACCCATTGAAAAAAGCAAGAAGTTGCAATTGTATTTCTCAATTTTTAAATGGACCTAACCAAAGGGAACGACAACTGCCCAGAACATGAAATGAGATGACTGCACGGATGGAAAGATTGTCCCTCATAGTGGCTCAAACCAACCCTGTTTTTCTCGTTAGACGTGGAGTTATATTTTTTATTTCTTAATTGAAAATTGCAAAATTGTCTGTGACGTCACCTGGTGGCAGAAACTTCAATTATTTGATGTGCCCTGTCATGTGACCGTAGACTGGTGCACGTGGTCAACAGGGATCCTGATAGAACTTAAATTTTGTTTGCTTCATTATAGTAAAACATCTTACTCTATAAAAATGTACATACAGGCCCGCGCTGGTAGTACGCATTAAGGTGGCGCTGCCTTCGCACGACGTAATCATCCCGTGCTCGTCAGCGCGTCTTGAGCAACTTTTCTGCGTGCTCATAAAGAGTGCGCGCAGTTCCCGGGTTTAGGAGCAGCGTGGTTTTTCTATTTACAATTTGTCACAGAAATGACGTGTACCGATATCGGCACGGGCACGCATATGCGCATTGACGTTTTCCGTGACTTGGCTTGGCCCGCGTGTCGAGAGAGTAACGATGACGGGACGAGCCATCCTCCACGACACAACGCGTAACAAATACAGAGAAGATATCTATCTATATATTTATCTATCTATCTATCTATCTATCTATTTATCTATCTATCTATCTATCTAGTCGCCTACGTCTGGGGTAGACCAAGATCAGTATGGGAGGCCAAGAAGGCTTGAATATGTCTGGCTGATCATGACAACGCGAAAATGCCGTCACGTATGTCAACAAAGCCTTTACACCAGACACGTACGGCACATACACGGACACGAAGAGCCACCGTATGCGGTCATGCACCACAGGTGATGGATATGACTAATCCTTCTGTTTTACTTCTATCTGAATCATGGTTGAACAGCGAAATTGGTGACCACGAAATCTTTCCCACGAATTATACGGCTTCCCGAAGAGATAGAGGCAGATCTGTTTTTTTTTTTCTTAGCACGCAGGGAGAGAACAGACATGGGTTAAAGCGAGAGCGTTAAGAAGAAAAAAACTGACATCGTCAGCGCTGATCCGACAAATGCAAAGATTGAAATTATTAGGGTCCCAGCAGAAATCGAACCCAAGCATTCTTCGTAGCAGCCAAGCATAAAACCACAGAGGCATGCCAGGTCTCGAAAATAATTTAGGAAAATATCCTATGCAGGCGTAATGTTAGACAAACTTCAATTGTGTCTGCAGTGCTGGCTATTTAATTACATGAACGTTACATAATTACTCCTGTGATTCAGGCGTCACGTCGGGGCGGCATCCGTTGGAGTTGGCCTACGTGGGACTATAGGGCTACCATCCCCACACGCAGAAACGCTACATGACAGCTTATCCCTTTTGGTGTTGGCAATACCCATGTAACTGCTGTAGCTGGCATCGCTCATTGCTGCGGGATTAGTGGGATTTGTCAAATTTTATATTTATTTTGTATTGCACTTGTCGAAGTTACGTGCGCAGTCGAGACGCGTCTCTACAGCAAAGTGAAATCAACGCACTCCTCCTCGTATGCCGGCATTGAGAGTCTGAAAAGGCAAGACCACGACCTCCCTCGGCAGCACAACCTATTACAGTGTTGTTGGCAGAAGAGCAGGGCAACACTCCGTCAGTGCTGTACATGGCAGAGCCATTGTGTACGGCTACGTCGACATGGGGTGTGGACTGGCTACTTGCTCACGTGTTTAGAAGAAACGTTTATAAGATCCTACCACAACCTCCTAGATTTCCCTTGCCTGCCAGATTATCAGCGGTCACTTGGAAAGCGGCCGTCGTAGGAACTATGGTGATGGCGCCACCTAAGTAGGGGTGTCCTCAAATAATTTTTTACGTTTTTGGAGCTTATATGCAAATGAAATAACGTAAAAAGTTTTAAAAAGCGTAAACGTAATTATAATCAACCCTACGTAAGTGACGCCGTCATTCAGCAGGCAACTCCTTCAATACAATGCATCCTCTGAAATTAGTAGCAAACGCCAAAATTGCCGATCTTAAAGGCCAAGTACAAAGACCTTTATTTCTACGTAGGCAGCGCCGCCATAGATAACCGGCGTTTTGCGCTCATCCGGCTGGCAAGGGAAATCTAGGAGGCTATGGATCCTATAGACGAGAGCACGCCTATCTCGCACTCAGGCGCCTTCGGTGGTATACTCTCGCTCCCAGGGATGCTATGGAACCCAAGCATTCTTCCCAGCAGTCAAGCATGAAACCACAGAGCCATGGCAGGTCTCGAAAATAATTTAGGAAAATGACCTATGCAGGCGTAATGTTAGAGAAACTTCAATTGTGGCTGCAGTGCTGGCTATTTAATTATATGAACGTTATATAATTACTCCTGTGATTCAGGCGCCACGTCGGGGCGTGAGTGGTTCTTAAGAAAGAGAAAGGAAGAGAAAAGTGAGCCCCGTTATTGTCTGCTTCAGTGAGCGACACCGCCACAGGGCTCACAAGGGATGGGGGTGAGGAGGGATAAAAAGGGTAGGCGTAAAGGTATAGGAAATAGGAAGAAGCAACAACAAACTGAGGGGATAGGAGAGACAGGAAAGATGGAAGCACGGTCACTGGAGTCCGAGGACGGGGTACACTTGCGAGAGATGTTGTCGGCGTCTGTAGATGGCGTAGAGCAGGTCCAGTAGGTCAGAGCTACGCTGTCGTCGAAGGTCGTCGGCGACAGGAGGTGACGTAGGGCGAGCCCAGTCGGTCAGAGCTACGGTGACGCCGGAGGTCGCGAGCGCGCGGAGCGCGCGGGCGCACAACCTGTCGGCACGAAATCCAGCGAGCGACTCCCGGCATCCGTTGGAGTTGACCTACGTGGGATTATAGGGCTACCATCCTCACACGAAGAAACGCTACATGACAGCTTATCCCATTTGGTGTTGGCAATACCTATGTAACTGCTGTAGCTGGCATCGTTCATTGCTACGGGATTAGTGGGATCTGTCAAATTTTATATTTATTTTGTATTGCACTTGTCGAAGTTACGTGCGCAGTCGAGGCGCGTCTCTACAGCAAAGTGAAATCAACGCACTCCTCCTCGTATGCCGGCATTGAGAGTCTGAAAAGGCAAGACAACGACCTCCCTCGGCAGCACAACCTATTACAGTATTGTTGGCAGAAGAGCAGGGCGACACTCCGTCAGTGCTGTACATGGCAGAGCCATGGTGTACGGCTACATTTGTTTTAAACTGCCAAGGCGTGCCTCGTTAGCATTGCAAGCAGTGGCTCTGGGACTTTAAAATGTAAAAAAAAACAAACGCCTCTTCACGCTGCACCAGCTTATAAGGAGTCTTCTGGGTACCACTGCGCCGTCATCGGATGCAAAAACAACCAGCGCAAGAGTAAGATATCGGTCAGAATTAAATGTCTGTAAAGATCCCAACACGATGCGGCAAACGTGCCGGTACGGTGTTTTCCGATTGCACAAATTTCCATCCGCAACAAAAAACGCCGAGCTCTGCCACCAGTGGATATAATCGCAATCGGCAGGAAAAACTATGAGTCCAGTAAAAGTGTACGAGTAAATATAATTATTGCGTTTTAGGGCGACACCAGCTGCTCCGCTTTACAGCAGTGATCTGCGTGCAGTATTTATTTATTTATTTTATTTACAACATACTGCAGGCCCACATTGGCCCAGACAGGAGGGGTAAATTGCAAAACAAAAACACGGCATTTCAAAAGGCGAAAAACAAACAAAATAAACGCTTAAATTTCAATTTTAATGTTAGGTTATGAGAAATCGATCAAGTCAATTGACTCAACTGAATCAATCAATGATAATGGCAGTGAGTTCCATTCGTTAATAGTGCGAGGAAAAAAAGAAAATTTGAAGGTGTTAGTTCTTGTATGATATGGAGTTAAAGATTGAGGATGATGATGTCTGGTTAGTCTAGTTGATAACGGGCGTAGATATGGTCCAGGATGAAAAGAGAGTTTGTTATTCTTCAGAAGTATGCCTGCATAGTATGCGGCACCAATTCATTGCCGTACTCTTTCGCCGGCTGCATGCCAGTAATGGTATGTGTTATGACTCACGCATGGATTCAAGCACCGCGCACGTATACAATGGCATACTATAGCGATGCACTGAGACGTGAACGGCGCGAAAAGCATAGCTTTCGACTCGGTCAAACTACTGCATGCCTCGACTCATTAGGCGAATCTGTGATTTCGGTCGGCGTCACCGTGTTTCAAAATCTTGCCCTGTTTGGCACTCTTCCAC